TCTATTTTGATCGTTTTATTTCCGTCCATTCGTATAAAAAGAAGAAATTTCCGCCACTCAGCCCATCTCTAGGGCGTGATGTATTCTGTGATGATTTTCAGGTCATCGAGAGCCGCCATGTTGCCCGCGTCACTGCCCAGGTCAGCCTCGATCACCAGCTGCAGAGGGAGTGGAGCTCGTGTGAGGATATGACCTGAATTGCGTTGTTCTTATGCATCTCTAACTCTGTCTAACTCTCTCTAACTCTCTCTAACTTTCTCTAACTCTCTCTAATTCTCTCTTTCTCTCTCTAACTCTCTCTCTCTAATCTAACTCTCTAACTCTCTAACTCTCTCTAACTCTCTCTAACTCTCTCTAACTCTCTCTGTCTAACTCTCTCTGTCTATCTCTAACTCTCTCTGTATATCTCTCTGTCTAACTCTCTCTGTCTATCTCTAACTCTCTCTCTGTCTAACTCTGTCTGTCTGTCTAACTCTATCTTACTCCCTCTAACTCTCTTTAATTTTCTCTCTAACTCACTCTCTCTAATTCTCTAACTCTCTCTTTCTCTCTCTAACTCTTTCTAACTCTCTCTAACTCTTTTTAACTCTCTCTAACTCTTTCTAACTCTCTCTAACTGTCTCTTTCTCTCTCTAACTCTCTCTCAAACTCTCCAATTCTCTCTAACTCTCTTCCTCCTTCCCTCTTTCCTCCCACCCACTACAAAGCTATAATAATGGATGACAGTTATAATGATGACTAATGATGATGATAATAAGACTAATAAGGATGATAAGACTAATAATGACAATTGATAATAATAAGAAGACATAATAACAATGATGATGACATATGATCATAATGATGATAATAAAAATAATGATAATAATAAAAATAATGATAATAATAAAAATAATGATAATGATAATAATAATAACAATCTACGTCATTGTACAAGACGTATCTGCTGTTGTCCGACCTGGAATGCTTCTTCAGTCTCGTCGACAGGGATCTCATACTCCCTGTTCAGCTGAATCCAGTCTGGGTTGTCGATGTCGCCGTACTGAGCGAGGTTGAGGAAGGGGAGGTCGTCGTAAATACCGTTGACAGTCTTCTTCCGTAGCCTGAAGAGAGACATCAACGTGGTCATCATCTCATTTATCATTATGTTTTCGTAGTGCTTTACCGTGCAAATTTGACAACGTTAATACTGAGGCCAATGGATACCTAAGAACTGCAGGGTAGACGACGGAGCCTCGAAGCCAAAATGTCACGACGACTTTCTTCCGTTGTCCGGGAGACACGGTGAAAGCAGGGGATTCCAGCGAAATAACACCTGTATTGGATATGAGAGTCTTAAATAAAGCTCTGATGGTTGTGCACACGTTAAGAACATTTCGTTTTCACTGTGGATGGAGACAAAGGCGTAGCGGGATATTCTGTTCACCTGAGTGGATGTCAAAGCGGTCCACGAAGAGGAAGTTCTTGCCGTCAGAAGGCTGTGGGACGTTCAAGGAGGGGTCAAGGTCGGCCCAGCACTTGAGAACCCAACGTCCACCGTCCATGTTGCCCGCAGACCAACCTGTGACCAAGACGAAGCATTTATTTTTTTTTACTTTCTCTCTCTATTCTAAATGAAGAAGAGAAAAGGACTCCGAATGACACTCACCGAACAGACCACCTTCGAAGTCAATGAATTCGGTAGTGTCTGTTGGGATTTCCTCGACGCCATCCAGGACGACCTTGTTGATGGCCACCGAGTTGTTGGGGTTGCCGCCCAGGGAGCCCTCTGAAGGGGGAGATTCAAAGTAAATTTCTTTTGCCATAATGTCAAATGTTTCGTCTAAGATTATGAGTTGTGGCTATGCCTGTTCCCTGTTTATCCTAGTTATATAATTTCTGCAGCTGGATATAAACTTAGTTTTTGATATTGAAGTGGTGTTGCACTGTATATAAATCATACAATAACTTTGTTTCTCATATAAATCTTTAAAAAAAAATAACCAAAAATGGAGAATTCCTTTAACGACCGACCTAGAGTGATTGTAAATGTTTCTCCAGGGACCAGATCGTGGATGGAGGCCCTGAACATAACCCATTCGTAGTTCATCTGGTTTCCGTACGGATCAAGGTTCATAATTGGTTCGACGTCAAAGGTACTGCATCAAAAGAGAGTGTATTTGATGAATGTTGTTATTGTAATTGTATTTTCTGATATAATGAATGAATGCTTGCCTCCGTAAGAGTGTTGCTGTGCAATTGTTGCGCTTCCTTCTCCCTTCCGTCTACGTCTAGCTTTCAACTTGGTGGGGAGGTCTTTCGTCCCGTCCATCCAGAAGGTGAGGTCGACGGTCAGTGAGCTTCCGATAGCCCTGAGTTTTGGGCTCTGAGCGAGGGCGGTTCCTTTAATATGAAGGAGATTTCATTGCCATGGCTGAGTAGTATGTTGTTATTTTATTAAAAGGTTTTGATGGAATTCGCCTCCTTCCTTTTCTATGTAAACGAGGGTTATTATGGAACTGATCTTGCATACATACAGTCCCCATGGAAGTTTTTATCCCAGTGTATCGTTTACAAAAGAAATAGACTCTTTTTCAAAAATAACGTTGGAGGTGCGACCGTTCTTAAATAGTTCCCCTTTATCTTAGCCATGTCACAGTAACGTAACTAAGATGCATAAAACAACAAACCGACATTAACCATTCTTACTACCAACACCAAGCCCATGGATTCTACTGTAATTATATTCACAATTCCATCTCATTCAGTATCCCCTGTTCCTTACTACGTCACCTACCTGCGAAGATGTGTTCAGGGAAGACCTGCAGAACCCAGGGACCTTCAGGGGGAGGCGAAACTTGGTGGCTGGCGCCCTCGAACTCGACCCTCTTCCAGGCGGCCCCGTTCATCTGGCTCAGCGTCCAGCCCTGGACACTGGACTGGAAGTTGTACTCTAGTATCCTGTTTGGTCCCTCCGTCGTCTCTGGGACTTGAGTGGGTTCAGCTGTTGTCTCAGGGGCTTCAGTGGGTTCAGCTGTTGTCTCAGGGGCTTCAGTGGGTTCAGCTGTTGTTCAGGGCTTCAGTGGGTTCAGCTGTTGTCTCGGGGGTTCAGTGGTTCAGCTGTTGTCTCGGGGGCTTTCTGTGGGTTCTGCTGTTGTCTCGGGGGCTTCAGTGGGTTCAGCTGTTTGTCTTCGGCGTGCTTCAGGTGGAGCTTCTGCTGTTTCTCGGGGGCTTCAGTGTCGAGATTCTCAAAATGTACTAGTACATCAGAGAGAGCTTACAAAGTAGGATTACAGACCACATGTCTGATACTACAAGGAGGCTATCAATAGGAGAATTGACAGCATGTTGATAACATACAGGGAGAGAATCGAGTGAGGTTCAGCTAGATATAGTCTCAGAGGACTAATACGTGGAGTTCAGCTAGATATACTAACATGAGAAGACATAAAGATAAGATGACATCTAGAATAGAATATATACGAGAGAATGATAGTCGATAGACGACAATAGATCGAAGTCTGAGATGATTAATGTATCGATCTACAGAGGATACCATACTGAGATACATGTACGATCGACACAAGTCCGTAACATGGGAGCACAGGACAGGAGCCGAACTGAACGTACTCCACATAATAGATAGACAGAAAACACACCGATAAGTAGCATATATCAAAATAACGATTTATATAAGAAATAATATAATTCATTAGTTATAAAAGTAATAGATAGTTAATGAATAGCAAGACGATACACAGATAATAAAGAACAGAATAAGAGGATATAAAGATATATAGCGAAGAACAGATACATAGAATAATATGCATCAACAATAAACATAACATATCCTCTCGGAAGGAAGGAATCTCTCCCGTCCAAGTATCCAAGAGACTGGAAAGAAAACTAGAACTAGGGTAAGTCGAAATGAAGATGAAAATAGACAGCGAGTTACATCATAGACTGAGACCACATCAATATCATAGCATGATCGGAGCGTACATAGTAAATGAAGAAGACCCTGACCCAGACGACGAATAGGCAGGAGAAGTGAAGAGGTGAGATGACGCCGGGATGAGAAGAGAGAGATAAAAGACGATATAGAAAATAGATAACAGGAGCAGTAGATCAAGTGTAACGTCAGACATGAGCCACAGCAGTGTCACCAAAGACAGACGAAGACAGTAAATCGAATATAAAGAATAGACGAGAAGAGAAGAAGAAAGAGAAGAAAAAAAAAAAAGAAAAAAAGAAAAAAAAAGAAGAGAGAGAAGAGAAGAGAGAATAAGAATAATAAGAAGACACAGAAGAATAGAAATAACAAAATAAACAAAGAACAAAAAAAGAGAGAAAACGCACAAAACCGACAATACGAGTAAATAGAGAGGACACACAATCACCATCCATAAGATAACAAGAAAATAATTAGAAAATACAGACAGAAAAGAGACCTGAAGAGCAGAACTTCAGACACACACACGAAGAAGCGAAGCACAACAGGAAGAAGATGGAAGAGAGCAGCAAGAGAACAGAGAGGAACAGAGAACAACAGAGAGAGAAAAGAGAAGACACTATATGACACGAAAGAAGGAAACAATAAGAAGAAGAAACAGTTGCAGAACAGAGAATGGAGCCATGGCAGATGAACGATACCAGAATTGCAGACCGAAGATATTGTAAATAGCGAAGTCGTATGCTTATTCATGAGCAGTCATCCCCCAGCAGTAATTTGGGAATCACCGAGAAGGGCCCCATGAGTGTATTTAGCTGCCGCTGGCTACTTATAATATTTTTTGTTCTTTAGTTTCTCATGTTGAAGTCATGAAAAAGAAGAATATGAAGAAGCTTACGCACTGTCATTGTGAATAAAAGATAGAACACGGACTCTTATAACAGGGTTAGAACTGAAAGCATTCCCATAAATATCATCATACGGACTATAATTTATTATTCATACAGGTGATTTAACCCTGAATTGTAGGCCTAAGTATACTCGCTGGCATCGCGCGATCGCCGTGTCAGGGATGACTGGTCAGCAAAAGCAAAAAGACTCATTGGCGGTTACTTGCCTATAACTAGAGATTTTGGAAGAGTTTTGTACCCTTCAGAATTCTCTCTCGTCTGCTCTCTGTGCTGTCTCTGTCTCTGTCTCTGTCTCTTCTGTCCTCTGTCTCTGCTGTCTCTGTCTCTGTCTGTCGTCTGTCTCCCTGTCTCTCTGTCTTTCTCTCTCTTCTCTCTCTCTCTCCTCTCTCTCTCTCTCTCTCTCTCTCTCTCTCTCTCTAATATAGATATATATATATATATATATATATATATATATATATATATTATACCTGCTTATCTCTTTCTATTATTAGTGCCGAACGCTTGGAGAAGAAACTCTCCGAACAGCTGTCAAAAACCCATTTCGTGGAAGAAAAAGCGTTAATTGTCTTAATTGGGAAAATTTTTGAATTGCCGTTACCGAATCTCTCTGCTCTCTCTCTCTCTCTCTCTCTCTCTCTCTCTCTCTCTCTCTCTCTCTCTCTGCTCTCTCTCTCTCTCTCTCTCTCTCTCTCTCCTCTCTCTAATATATATATATATAATATATATATATATATATATATATATGTGTGTATGTATATATACACCGCTTTATCTCTTTCTATTATTTGTGCGAACGCTTGAGACGAAACTCTCCAGAACAACTGTCAAAAAACACATTTTGGTGGAAAAAAAACGAGCAGAGAGCGAGGAAACCGTGGCACCAAATTACTTAAGGCTTATGAGAATTTCGACAAGTTGAGGGTCATCTGAGTGTCGGTGTGGAGGCTGCTGTAAGGAAGGTGGATCTATCTTCTTCGTGTCCTTGAATTGCCTTGTCCGGCCAGCGTCAGGGCCGGACAAGCCTTTATTATTTTTTGTCCCCCCTTAGAATTTCCTTCTCTGTGTCATCTTGCTGAACCAGAAAACGTGTCGGGAATAAGCAGTGCCATATAGAGGTGGCACGCTGGTCAAACGTGTTTGTCTGTGTGTGCGTGAGCGTGTGTGTTGCGTGGGTGAATGTGTGTGCGTAAAATATATAATAATATATACATATATTATATATAATATACTATATATATATTATATATATAGGATGAATCATAAAAACAGACATGTACATATCCCTTACACACATGGAATTCGGTTGTCCGTCCGCCATGCATTGCTTCAGAAATTAAACTTTTTGACAACCTGAGTTTCTCTGTTCCGCCCTCCCTCCCTTTCGCTTCTCTCTCTCTCACTCACTCTTTTCTCTCTCTCTCATCACACTCTCTCTCTTCTCTCCCTCTCCTTCTCTCTCTCTCTCTCTCTTCTCTCTCTCTCTCTCCTCTCTCTCTTCTCTCTCTCTCTCTCCTCTCTCTCTCTCTCTCTCTCTCCTCTCTCCTCTCTCTTCTTCCTCTCTCGCTTTAACTGTCTTCGAAGAATCGATGTATCGGAATCGCTTTACCAATTGGCGAGTATCGATGTATCATTATCGCCTTACACAATTCTGTGTATCGATGCCCATCACTGGATGTGAAGCATATTCATACGGAAAACCCATCGTTCGTAATATGTTAAACTTCCTTCATAATGATCGGAATATGCAAACCGGCTATTTAGTGTTTATTTATCCGATCTCTGTACACAGGGATTAGAGGACCGTCCCTCTCTGTCCACGACGATTACACGAACCTTCATTACTGTATTACAACAAGCAATTCTGCAATCTCCTGCTGCTGGTCATCTTGCTACAGCTTCTTGCTACATAACGAGTCCTATAGAACGAGAACGAAGAATCTTGTAGAATTTGATTCAAGTCTCACCAAGATTTTAGTCGTTGGAACCTAGATCCCCCTTCAGACCAACCCAGAAAGGGTGAACTCTACCCACTAATGGCAAACCTGCGCGTGAAAGGCATTTAATTAAACCCGCCCAAGTGCAAATGCGAAAGTACAAACCAACGCCAAACTTTCAAAGATTATCACATGCAATATTCCATTTACGACGTGCACCATTCACCTGTTGTAATGGCCGTGATGCGGTAGTAGATTAGATGAAATATCAGTTTAATTGATGAAGCGGTAACTTTGTTCCACTCCTGTTGATTTTGTGTCTGCATTGTTCAATGATATTCCAAGTTATTTTAAGAAAAGTACAGTAAAAAAAATTCTAAAGTATAATTCATGGAACAAAGAGTAGAGAGACAGTGTTTTGGCCGAAGCTACAGGAATGAAATTTCCTGTCATTGTCCGGGCAAAAATGAATAATGATGAGGCTATTTCTCATTATTCATTTTTTTCTACAAGCATTCAATGAACAACAGGTTTTCAAAATTATCAGTATATCTCTTAGTTCTTGTGGGTAATCAAGACTCTTTGCAATCATATTGCAGTAAAAGTATTATTTTAAATAGCATGGAAGAAACAGTTTTCTGTCATAAAATCATTCAAAACTCAAATGTATATTATATATATATATATATATATTTATATAATATATACTATATAGATAGATAGATAGATTTTGATTTATATATATATATATCTAGTCATCCATTACAGTATATATATACTATTTTAACTTTCTTTCGCTCAAAACCGCTTAACTCTGCTTCTCTGCCAAATGAAGGGAATATTTTCATTAATTATAAAGCCTACTTGAAAATTGAAGTTAAAATTATTTCATGATCCTGCATACTCCAGCCTGTGTAAGTTTATGGAAGAGCAGGCGAAAGGCAAGGATATAATCTTCCTTTTAAGAATAAATGAATGAATATATACAATACAACAGAGAGAGAGAGAGAGAGAGGAGGGGCGCTTCTGCTGCTCCAAATTGCTGGCCTCTTCAACTGTATAGGCTGAAGGTTGCAAAAAATATTGTATCAAAGTCAAGGTGTTAAAACCATTCATGATGAGAAAGTTTACTAATTTGAGCGGTCTTTTCTTATATTTTTTAAATCGACTCGACGCGGTATTGAAGAATCCTGTTAATGTAATGTTCTTAAAATTGGTGTGATTCGCGGCAAGTATTAATCCACAGAACTATAAATGATTGATAATACATCTAATGATGAATAGCAAAGAAGTGAGAAGTAGAGACTATGGGTACTGACAGATCAGTGTTAGCGAGATAATAGCTAGATGACAGATGTGACGAGGTAATAATAATGGTAAAATAATGATAGTATTGATAATATAAGACGGTAGACGAGTAGGCAAATGATTACGTGCCTCGACGTCGAACTGTGTCTATAATTCCACGGCATCTGCATATTTGATACAGTGCTATTAATAGTTTATCCGACTCTTATCATTGAGTTAATAAAGACTTTTGGCCTATCTCCGTGGAAGAAAACTTTTACTCATGCATGCTACTCTAATACATGCAGCCCAGCAGAAGGTGTTTACTTCCATCCCTAAACAATGGCTAATGGCCACTAGCCGTTTCGAGTCCAGGCGCTTGTGTGTGTCGATTCGGACAGACAGGAACTAAACATGGATATTCTCCTTAGTTTAACACAGGACGAATGAGGAGAGGGCTTACATTTTAAATATGAAGCCTTTAAGTCGGGGATTCCAAGGCGCAAAGATTATATTTACACTCTGCAGGAGTCAGAGGTGTTATGTTTGGATAGTTTATCCTGCTGAACTGCCATTCTAAGCGGCAAAGAGAGTGGAATGCTGTATGCTGGCCATATCCTTT